AACGTGGGGCTTAGCTGGTTAGGTGTTAGGCCCTAGTGCTAGGTCCCTTTGTTTTTGTTTACTTAGTGTGTTTACACTGTGTGACTTGTGTTTTTCCTTGCCTTTCATTGTACTGTTTTCAGGTATAGTGATTGTTTTCTTGTATTTTCTTGTATTGTGTCTTGTTTAATATTGTGACTGTTACTGTGGTTGATGATTTTTGAGTGTTTTTGTGAGTGCATTGTGGTGAAATTTTGTGATATTGGACACTTTAAGAAATTTCCACTGTGCTTGTGATTTTGGGCATTTGGCATACGGCATATTTACAGCAGCAGTTGGGAGGCAAAGGCAGTTGTTGTGATTTAGTTTTCTTGGTGAAAACTTTGTTGTGTACTTAGTACATATTGTTGTGAGTACTTGGTACTCTTTGAATTGTGTTGCTTTCATTCGAAAGTGTTATTGTGAATTATTTCACTGTTGTTATTGTGCTATTGTGAGATTGAAGGAGGTGGTTGTTGAATCGACTTGACTTTTCCCAGTGGTTTGAAAGTCTTTATTTCTCATCATGGCTAAACCAATGGCGATTATGGATCCTGCAAGACTCCTCGGCGAGGAGCTTGAGCATGAGCTGCAGATTAGGGGCCGAGTCACCGCCCTCATGTCCTTCGAAGAAAAGGTGGAATGGTTGACCAACAATGCAGATAGGCAAACGTTGACGGAAGTTTTGGAGGACATCAAGCCAACAGCCGAACTTCTTGTCTTGTCAACAAAAGTATCCGAGATGAAGGCGCTGATGTCCGAGTTTCGAAATGGTCAATCCACTCGTCTTGCAGCACTGTACCTTCACTGCGTGGGTCGTGTCCGTCGATCAATGTTCAGGGATCCTGCCTCTTTTGAAGGTTTCAAGTACTTGACCGTTCGGATGAAGAAAGTCTATGATGCAGTGCGGAAAATGTTTCCAGACGTCGATTTCCCTCAGGTTTACTCTCCTGATGATGATCATGACTCTCCGCCGTCAAGGGATAGGTCTCCTTCCCCTCGCAGGCGACGTGATGACTCCCCTCGCAGGCGACGTGATGACTCTCCTCGTAGGCGACGTGATGACTCTCCTCGCCGTGAAAGAAAAATCAAGAAGGAGCCTAGGTACCGAGAAAAGAAGGGGTACAGATCCGACACGAGTTCTAGCTCAGATTCTTCCCGATCAGGCAGCAGCAATCAGCGTCGATCCCAGGGGCGGTCCAGAAACAATCCTGTTGCAAGGTGGGGGATGTCGTTCAGTCAAAATGAAGATCTGCACAATTTTCTCGACGACGTAGAGGAGGCCGCTGAAATGAACGAGGTTTCAGACGAAGAATTGTTGCGGGGCATCAGTTCTTTGTTGAAAGGTCCTGCCAAATCATGGTACAGAGGTACTAAAGCAAAGATTGGTTCTTGGAAAGGATTTAAGAAGCAATTAAAGGAGGCGTTTAGGCCAGATGAAGATGATGATGGAATTAAGGAGCAAATTGACAGGTTGCAGCAGCACTCAGACGAGTCCTTCGTTGTATTTGAAGCCAGAGCTAGCGAGTTATTTAGAAAATTGAATCGTCCATACCGAGAGGATGAAAAATTGAGCAAGCTGTTGAAGGGTCTGCACTTCTACTACAGGTCGAGGATCCGAATGAAAAACATAGCCAGCGTGAGGGAGTTGCGCGCTGAGTGTAAGGATCTAGAAGCTGACAAAACCCAGATAATGAAGTTGGAGAAGAAAGAAAGGAAGAGAGACGACAAGGAAGATAGAAGAGATAGTCGACGTCATGTCAAGGCTGCTGCTGTCGAATTGTCTGGCTCCAGCGATGATGGTGCTGCTGAGGCTGCCGCCGTTAGGGTCAGTGGTCAGGCTTCTGGATTTTCAGGTACCTGTTGGCGCTGTGGTCGCCATGGGCACATGTCAATAAATTGCAAGGAGAAGATCTTCTGTCTTTGTTGTGGAGCGAAGGACACTGTTGCTGAACGGTGTCAGAACTGCGCCAAGGCGGCAGCAGCTGGAAAGTGGTCTCAGTCGGGGAAAGCCGCCGGGGATTTGGGCGGGGGAGCCAAGTCCCTATTTTCTCAACCCCCTCCCCAAACCCCTACCAAGATTTTGCAGCCCCTAATGACTTCAACGCCCCAAGTGTCCAAGAATGGACAGGCGAAGTCAGCACAACAACCTTCCAAGGAGAATTAATGAGAAGATGCGTCTTAGACATCGAGCTTGGCAGCGATCGACGTGGTTACTTGTCAGTTGATATTTTGGGAGTCCCAGTGAAGGGTTTGCTAGATTGTGCCTCTTCCAGAACACTTGTCGGCGAGCAAGGAATGAAGACTTTAGTTGCCGCTGGTCTCCAGCTGCAAGAATCACGCTACACCACCTTGCGTGTCGCCAACAAGGGTACAACTCAAATAGTTGGTGAATTCATTGTTCCCTTCACTGTCGCCGGCAAAACCAGAGTAATTGACGTACTGTACGTCCCATTGTTGAGCACTGCTTTAATTTTAGGACTCGATTTCTGGAGAC